AATGGCGAGGGACGAGCGACGTATATAAGAGTATAAGAAAGAGAAAGAAAAGAAGGAGTAGGAGGAGAAGGTGGTACAGGAAAGAAGAGAAAAGAAGAGAAGAGGAGAGGAAAGGAGAAGAGAGGAGAGGAGAGAGAATCGGAGGAAAATGAACGCAGTTGGGCGGCAGTGTCAGTGGAGTTCAATCTTAATATAGTGTGACCCCCACTGCCATTCGAAAACAGTGTGTGTTGGGATGCAACTACACTGCAACAGCAGCAGCAGTGTGTACCAGTCGAGAGAGAAAGATAGATAGATGGGTAGATAGAATGAGAGAGAGATGCAAGAGCGCAGTGAACGGGTGCGTGCATTGCACCTTATTCCTCTGTCCGGCCTGAGTTGAGCCTCGCTCGGTTATTTCAGAGACATCGGCCTCGAGAAGAGGCGCAAGTACGACGACGGGGCGTTCGAGCGTGTGCGCGAATCACTATACTCTCGCGAGAAAAGAGACGTAAAGTAAGAGAGAATAAAGAGAGAGAGAGAGAGAGAGAGAGAGATACTCGGATGCGTCCACGTGTTCACACGCAAACGACGAGATCGTTCTTCGGGCCGAGTGTCATCGATCTATTTCGAGAGGAACCTGGAATTTCTGGCTTTGGTTTAGGGTACGCGAAAGAGGGAAACAGAAGCATATAGTTTCTTTAGTTACTATTAACCATAAAAGAAACATAATTAAAAAATAAAAAATAAACATATTCATTCATATTTATATTTTATCATAAATTTAAATATTACTTTCTTTTCTTTTCTTGAAACAAAATGATATATCATTTAAAAATGTCATGGAATAATAATAAAGCGCATTCTCTCTCTAACTTCTCATCTTTCTCATGTCGTAATAATTATTTACGTCGACGAAAGTATATAATAATAATAATAATAATAATGCATATAGAACGCATATATATATATATAAGGTTTGTAGAAAGATGAATAGAGTAGAAACGCAATAGTTGCGGATTGTGCGAGTAGGCGAAGGGATTCCAAGGATTCGACGATGATCATCAATCGATGGAAGTTTCCCGATGCCAAGACGAACATACGAACGAATGAACGTATGAGCTCAAAGAGAAGAAGAAACGTGGAGAATCGTGAGCCACGTTGTGTCCCTGCAAAGACCACGTTACCGACTTTATTGGCGTTATTGGTGTGTTTCCTCGGACGTTCCTCCGGCGGCAGCGGCGGTGTGCGCGAGGTCGCTTCAAGAAAATGGGAGAGGGTAAAAGAGAAGTAGGAGGATAGGAGGACATACTTGGTGGGGATAAAGAGAAAGAGAGAGAGAAAGAGAGAGAGAAAGAGAGAGAGAGAGAGATAGCGACGGTGGTGCTCGGCCGTTGTATCGTGGGGGTGTTGGCCTTCAACTTGACGGCGCAGTTTCACTGACCTGCCTGAGAAACTCGTGGATACCCGGCGCGGCTCGTGCGTCCAGCTACCAAAGAAATCTTCCGAGACGGCAAAGAATACCGCTGCTTAAAAGGAGGGCCCCGTACTAAGACCCTCGAATAACTTTTTTCGAGTGTTGGGGTCCTTTTTTTTCTCTCTCTACTTTCTCCACTCACTCTACCACATTTTTATTTTCATTTCTAATAAACAATACTTGTATCTTGAGAGAATATTTATTCAATCGGGACCCCTCTCTTTTATCAATTTTATATATATATGTTTCTTCGGCTTTTATGAAAAGGGGGAAAAAGAAAGATTTGATTTGAACACGTTTGGGTCTGTTATGTAGAAAGAACAAATTAAAACAGTGTTAAATGTTTGTAATACAGGTTTACGAAAAAGACCGGATACAACATAAGATTGTAAAAATTTTTCAAACGTTTCCTAAACAAACAAAGGGAACCAACCGACCTTTGAACATATTTTCTTAGGGTCTTCTATATCTGCTTTTTCCTTTGTCCATGGCTAGACTAGACGAATAGATCAAATTCCATTTTTCTAATACTTCACCAAAATGTGTTCTTTCGACTAAAAGTTCTAGTACTACAAAACAGAACAGTTACGATTGAAAATTTGGTCGGTTGTCAGCAAAGAAAAGAAGAGAGAGAGAGAGAGAGAGTAGTCAGTCAGTCGGCCGTGTAGAACGAGTTGGAATTCCTTTCTCTGGTTCTTCTGCGATCGACTTTCCGTCGAAGCTAAACGACCCTCCTCGCCAGCGAATCCTCGGAAACGAGAAAGAAAGAATGGCAGAGAGAGAGAGAAAGAGAGAGTGAGTGAGTGAGTGAGCTTGTTTCGTTCCAAAGAGGTCGTTGGGTGTTAGAGGCCGTAATTAAAGCAAAGCCCCCGAACAGATGGCCCGCGGGTTTCTGTCCCTTTCAAACGAATTTTTCTTCGAAAGTCATGCTAGTTGCCTACCGAGGATTTCTCAGAAAATAGTTGGATGCAAAACGATTGGACGTTAAACGATGACAAAAATTACTCAATTCAATTAATATCATATGTCGTGTAAAAAGTCAAGGTAATATGGAAAGGTATAAATCATGTCAAACAATCTTAAACCAAATAACCAAAATAAAATGAATACAAAATCGACACTTTCTTTTTTCAAAGAAAAAATATTTCTCCAAGAAGACGGGGGGGGGTGAGTGGGGGCGGTTAACTATGCTCGTTGCACGCAGTGCACGGCGCCGTCGTGTAATGCAGTCTCCGACTATAGAAGCGTATAACTATTGATCCTGCGGCCTTTCGAGAGAAGCTACCGCCCTGCTGCCGGCGCCACCGCTGCTTCTGCAGATTTTAGCAACGTCACTTGAAAGTGTGACGCGTTTGGAAGAATTATATGTCCTTATGTTAGTATTCGTTTTGCGTGCTGTCGAGTGCCCGTCCGGTACGCGAATATGACATGCTTCCTCTTAAAAATAAATAATAATAATAATAATAATAATAATAATAATAATTCATTTAGATAGAAGATTACGCCAATCAAAGTTTCTAAGCGTTAATATGCGCTTATCAAAAAGATATTATCTTAGGATTAGATATTTGAGTACCTACATTTATATGTAATATTACGAAAGTAAAATCTCTCTGAAATATTCTCAAAGATCCTAAAGAGAAAAAGGTAATAAAAAAAAAGAGAGAGAGATAGAAGATACTCTCTTTTCGTCCTTCCTCTCTCTCCTCTCTGGGATCCCTCCAAGAAGACGGACAAAGGCAAAAGACTCTTGTGTTTTCTTCGGAGACTCGTCTCTCTTTCCTACGGCATGCGTACACGTTCACCACTCACATACACAAGAACTCCATATGCAAGAACGATGCAACAGACAGTCGACATGTGCACACGTATATATATATACGTTCTCTTTTTCTCTTTCTCTCTTTTTCTCTCTCCCTTCCCGTCTTACCTCACCTTGGCCGCGGCCCTTCAACCGTCTACGACCCACGCCCCACCTCTTCTTTCTGCATCCTAGTAGCCAGCACCATCTCCACGATGCCATGCCATACCATGCCATGCTATACCATACCACACCATACCACACCATCGTCGTCACCATCGACCACAAGGAAAGCAAGCAGCCTTACTCTCCTCCTCTTTATTTTCTCTTCTTCGTCTTTCTGCAGCATCATTTTCTTCTTTTTCGCAAGTCCTTCGATCTTTGAAGTCTACCTGCAACCCACGTGCTTTCCTCCCGTACGCTTCTTAATGTGTCCTTCTTTCCTTCATTTTCTTTATTTGTCTGTCTGTTTATTTGTAACATTTCCGGAAACTTTCTAAAAAGTCACAGAATCTTTCAGTGTAAGTAACGAGAACCATTTCCCCCATCATTTTGTCATTTTGTCAAGAAACATTAAATTATGTTAGAAACCTGGTATACGTTTTTCTCACGCTATCTAGGAAGATTTTTATTTACGTCGCATACAACCCCTATAAGAGAGTAACTTTATGGAGGATAAGAACCGGTCGGCAAATGGGGTAAAGAAGATGCGATCATTTCTATAAATAAACGTGATCGATGTGTCCCGAAGCAAGAGATTCATCCTTTTTAATCTAAGAAGGTGCTCGTGTTCTCTCGTAGTTTCCTTTCTGTCTCACGACACTAGATAGAAATCGAATAATCGAAGAAACTTCGTGACACGCTTTAGGTTTACGTGTTCCATTCGATGACTGATTAAGAAAACCATAGACGTTATATTAGCGTATAGACGTTGTCTGCACGAACCATCTAAAGTTACAAACAAAGTTAGAGAACAATGATGATAAGTTGATTTTACTGGTACAAACAATTCTTAGTTCTAACCACATGACTTATTGTCGAAAATCTTTTTCGATAGCAAGAAGAAACAGGATTCTGTAATACGAAACAAATCTAATTGAATTAACTAATAATAATCGGTGCGGTGTTACGCGGATTAGTATCGATGTCAAGATTATGCTGCAGAATGCGACCCCAAAAGAGAGGAGGAGGAGGAGGACGTCCATGACATTGTTGCGTTATGCAAGGACTCCTCGCTGAGGGCGCCATTCGATTTAGGAGCAGACGTGCGTGACGAGCGTTGTGCAAGGACACTCGTCTAGTCACACATCCTTCGTTGAATTCGTCTTTTCGAATGGACTAATAAAAATTCAAACATTTTCGTCCTCTTATCTGTGTACACAAGCTTATAGAACTTAGAATCAAAAAAAAAAATCAAAGGAGAACTTGATTTGCGATAAGAGGTGTGACGCCTTCTCTTCCAGTCGGCGTAGTAAAGAGGAGAGATTGTGTACATGTGCGTTTAAGAGAAGGGGTGGGGGAAGGTGAGAGAGAAGAGTGGTTCACCTGCATTGCTTGCATTGCGCCAACTCAAGGCCAGAGTTTGAGATAGAAAGGGGGAACGAATTGGGAACTCCTCCTGTTACTTTTTACATTGACGCGACAAACAAACCCGACCATTGTTTCTAAAGTCTCATTTTGTAACACTCTGTAAAAAATATATATGGAAAGTCATCGTTGACACATTTCTTTTTCTGATTGCAGGCTGCAAGATCAAGGCTTTACGGGCTAAAACGAACACGTACATAAAGACTCCTGTACGTGGAGAAGAACCGGTGTTCGTGGTTACCGGACGGAAGGAGGACGTAGCGCGTGCTAAACGCGAGATCCTCTCCGCGGCGGAACACTTTTCGCAGATCCGAGCGTCAAGGAAAAGCACTTTGGGCGCACTTCTAGGTGGTGCTCCGCCCGGTCCCCCGGCTTCGGTGCCGGGACACATTACGATCCAGGTACGAGTACCGTACAGAGTAGTAGGTCTGGTGGTAGGACCGAAAGGAGCTACGATCAAAAGGATTCAACATTCGACGCATACATACATCGTAACACCTAGTCGCGACAAAGAGCCAGTCTTTGAGGTTACCGGGCTTCCTGAGAGCGTCGAAGCTGCTAGACGTGAGATCGAGGGACACATCGCCGTTAGGACAGGCACCGCTCTTGGTGATGACGATCTTTTGGGTGCTATATGTCGTGGCGGGCTTAGCTCAATCCTTGGCTGTTTGGTACCAACGGGAACAACTCCTTGCAACGACTCAAACTCGAATTCGAATGACTCCAGCGTTGGTTTCTCCTCAAGTGGCAGTTGCAGCAGCTCCTCCAGCAGTACCGCAGGACAGGGCATGCACGATCTAGTAGCGATATGGGGAAGCAGCATGGACAGAGACGAGGGCTTAGGCGATTCCCCATCTTTCGAATCTCAGGCACCCACGGCCTCCTCCATCTGGTCTTTTCCCAGCGTAACACTACCCTCGAGACCTTCGCCCCCGGCATCGGCGAGTCCAGTGTCTCCTACGGATTCCCTCTTAGGAGGCGTTACAGCCGGTAGTCGTCGCGAGTGCGTAGTCTGCGGCGACAAAGAGATCACCGCCGCCCTCGTGCCCTGCGGACATAATTTATTCTGTCTCGACTGCGGCAACAGAGTCTGCGAGAGCCCCAATCCGATGTGCCCCGCCTGTTCCAGGCCCGTTCGGCAAGCGCTTCGCATCCTTTCATAAACGCTCCCGCACGCTGCTAATAACAAGCACGACGGTTGCGCACAATCTCTCTATTCCACTGCTGCCAATAAATAATCTCTTACGCGCTAAGAACATTTTCGACATTTCTGATAACATTTCTGATACGTCGTATTGTTCTCAGTGCCCGATCGGATACAACGAAGTCAGTTTTTAAGTTTTATCACACACACTGAGAGTAGAGAGTTAGTAAAAGAGTTTAATACAGAGAGTAAGAGAGAGAGAGAGAGAGAGGGAGAAAGAGAGAGAGAAAGAAAAGGGGAGAGGAAGAGAGAGAGAGAGAGAGAAAAAGAAAGATAGAGAAAAAATTAATAATGCGTGTTAACTCACATCGTCATCACGTCCTTCTCTTCCGTTCTCAATACGGGCCCAACGCTTTAGACCTATGCCAACTTTTCTCGGCTTCTCTAGCCCTTCATCAAATATTTTGTTTATTTCATTAATTGCCAGCACTCTTAAGGAGCCCAAAACGTTACGTAGTATCATGATTTTTAAACGTAATCACGCGTTTTACAAAATTCTTCTAAAGTTAATATTTCAAAATCACCGAGATAACTTCGAAAACGATAATTAAAATTACCAATTTGAATAAATAAAAATTTGGAAATGTTCAATTTCGTATCGTTCTCGAAGACCTACGCAATTGTGAAATTTTTCAAAAATGTTCTGCTATGAATTTGAGTACGAAGCGAAGGACGAAGTGAGAACGAGGATATTAGCATAGAAAGATGAGTTTGGGAAAAAAGGTGAGGGAATGAGGGGAGGAGGAGGAGGAAGAAGTAGAGAGGTATAACAAGAGAGAAATATATATATATTCTACGAACCGAGAACGATGCTTAAGTGTCCCTCAAAGCGCAACATTGCTCGTATGACGACTCGAAAAATGCGCTCGTTCCACCCGGCATCCCTCGCTACTAACACTAGTATCTTACATTTACATAAGAGACATAGCAATAGAAATAATAATAATAATAATAATATTAATATTAATAATAACAATAATAATATAATTAATACTATATAATATTATTAATAACACTCTGATACCCTAATAATAATAATAATAATAATAATAATAGTAATAATATATAATATATATATATGGTGATCCGACGCATTCGGCGAGTTTCGGCGAACGTGGCGATATTTTATTGAGATGTAGATTTTGTATTTTTCGCGCCTTTTGACGATGGAAGACGGGTGGTACGATCGTATTATTTAAAAACGAGCGTTTTATTTAACGAATAACGGATATAAATTATATATATATATATATATATATATATAGCAACATTTAATAATACAATATTAAATAATAACACAATAAATAGTAGTTATAATATATTTCTATTAATTATAAATAATTATTATATTGATATATAAAATAATATATATTACATATAAGTTTGAGAGAGAAAAAAATTAAATAAATAAATAAATAAATAAATAAATAAAATTTGAGGCATAGCGAGAGGTATCATGTGTAGGCATCGGCTTCCATACGAGCTAATATTATAATGTTGGGTATTCGTGATAGTGATTGAGCTTTTCAAATACGAAAATGAATTTTTTAAGAATGAATGAACACACATTTTATGCATCAAACTTGCTCATACATAGCTTTTTTTTTCAAGAGGCATAAATATTATATTATTATATTACAGTGCATTATATATATATATATATATACATACAGACTTATATCAAGAGCTATATATGCATATAAACATATATATATATATATAAAATACGTGTCTCTATATCGCGCGATTTCTCTCTCTCTCTCTCTCTCTCTTTTTCTTTCTCTTTCTTTTTCTTTCTCCTCTCTCAATCTATTTACCAATTTATCTATATACGTATATATATATATTTGATCTTTTCTACCTTCTCTCTCTCTCTCTCTCTCTCTCTCTCTTCTCTCAAAATAGGACGCAATCGTATTGGGGGGGGATGGGGTTGGGTGGTAGGGGGGTAAACGAAGACTTTTTCTACCCCGAACTAGAATTTTTCGTTCTTTTAAACGTAGAGAATATAAACACGCACTAACGCGTTATATTTTCTGCAATTTGATTTTATATATATATATTATGACTTGGCATAATAAAAAAAATTGAAAGGAAAAAAAAAGGAGTTCGATGCAACAAGTTTTAACTTAAACGTTTGAATTTGTTTTCGTGGTGAGGGATAAATAAATTGAAGATATATATATATATATTTTTTTTGAGAATAAGCTTTTTTTTTCTTTTTTAGTCAGAAAAAAAGCTTTATGGTTAAATCCTTAGAAAGAAAAAAATTAATGAAAAAATAAATCCACGAAGGTTTGACGTACATTTTTATAGTATTTAATTTTCTGTCTGACAAAAATTTCATCGTCATCGTTAATCGAATGGAAGAAGGAACCATTTTATTCATTTTCGCGTCGAACAAAAATAGTGAATATGCCTCTGTCAGAATTCCAAAAAAAAAAACAAAAATAAGTGACAAGATTTCTATATATATATATATGTATAGATAAATATTATGTTGCATATAACGTATATTATATAAATGTATACATATGCATTCGTATATGTACATGATTATTGAAGGGACACACACACACGAGCACACAGATGTAATTGTGTTTATCATCATCCACCAATATAGCAGATAAAGAACGGAGATATCAATATTTTCTAATCGCGACTTTTTTTTTTTTATTGACACACACGTTCTTCGTGTACAACTTTTTTTTTTATCCATGTAAACTTTTGATTCGTTTCATCGTATGTATCTGATTTCTTTTATTTTTATTTTTAACGATTTGTTCATATAAACTTTTGAAAATTTCTCATCTTCGTTTTTTCTATCTGCTATTAACGTTATTTCCGTAAAATATTTCGCGATTCTCATATATATATATATAAAGAAAAAGAAAAAAAACGCAGCACACAGCATCGTTCACTTATAATCGTTCTCTTCATTCTTAAATATTCTTCCTTTGAACACGCGTTCTCGTAAACTTATCTAGCTGAAGTATACGCTATTGAAGAAAAAAAAAAAATTAACAGATAATAATAATAATAAATAAACAAGAAATTTCTCATTTATTCGTACAGAAAAAAAAACAAATATACACACGTGATCAACACCACGTACACAACGTGCACAGACGAAACTATGGAGACACTCGTATACATAGATTGATGAGAAATATTATATTAGACAACCATGAGAGAGACTCCGAACGAAGCTTACAAAACATATATACATACAAAAACACAGAAAACGTATATTTATATATTATTAACAACGCTCACATATGAGAGAAAGAGAAAAAGGATTTATTATATTTAAGTTCGTGGCAAAGCAAATTCTATATTTTTTCTATGTTAAGTATAAAGCAGATTAAAGAAGAAAAAAAAGAACAGAAAAATAATTGCATTAAGAGAAGTTCTGTGAGACGTACACATATATATATATATTATATTATATTATATTATATTATATTACATTATATTATATTACATTATATTATATTATATAACATACATATATATATATATATATATATATATATATATATTACCAATAAAGTGTATAATTTAATTAATTTATGAAATAACTGATGGTTATATGAAAATTATTATTATATCAAAATTAAATTATCAAAGATATAAGAATGAATATCAACGAATATCATTCTAACCAGTATAAACAAACTTTGAAGACTAATCAAATCTTAATTTCATACTTTATTTGTTTAATATAATTATTATTTCATATACTATATACTTGTTATTTCATAAATTAACAGATTTAACACTTTAATGATAACATATATATATATATATATATATATATATATATATATATATATATATAAAAAAATAAAAAGATATATTTATAAGTATTCTCTTGAAAAATATTAACTGCGTTTTAAATATCGCGGGGATTCACTGTAGCGTGAGCGCATGCGCATGCTTGCACACACTAAACAGATGGATCTCACGTGGGACAGAGGATTAGATAAAATCTGTCGTAATGCAACCGCGAATAGAAGAAGCTCGCTTTGATAAGTCTGAATCAAGAATTTGAAATATGAATTTGAAATGGTTCCTCTTCTCGTTTCGAAGAGAGAGAGAGAGAGAGAGAGGGGGAGGATCGAATGGAAATCCGCGTTTAATGGAAAACATCCAGATGGAAATACGAGCTTTTTCGTATGATACCAACCAGTCCATTAAGATCAACGCACGCGTACGTGTATATATATATATATTAATATATATATATATATTAATATATCGTGTGGTCTTAAAATACATATGTGTAATATATATATATATATATATATATATATATATATATATATATTAAACAAAAACACTTCATAACACAATTTAGGACACATAACAGAAAATACATATATATATATATATATTACATGTAAGGGGATATGTATGGAGTGATTAGTAATTAACATATATAAAAATGATCAAGAGAGAGATTTATTAATACATCTTTATTATTTAATGAAGAAACGTCTTTAAAAATTCAAATTTAATGGTGGCATTAATTACTATGATAAAAAGAAGAAAGATAGAAAGATAGAAAGAGATGGATAATACCAGACTTGCCGAAGGGGAGGAGAGAGTATTATATAGAAGGTGGTTTATTAAAAACGGTTGCCAGAAAACTCGGAGTGTGGCGAAAATTTCAATACGTCGACGAGCTTGCGATCCTGTTAAATGTACATGAGATAAAAAGAGAGAGAGAGAAAGACAGAGAGAGAGGTAACGGCAAAAAAAAGGGAAGAGAAGCAAAGATAAAGAAGAAAAGGTGAAGTACAAAAAGTACATTTGATGCAACACGTTAAAAGAGAGAGAGAGAGAGAGAGAGAGAGAGAGAAGAGAAGAGAACCATTAAAAACTGCAAAATGAAACAAATTTCTCGAAAGACGATTTTCGTGCTGATGTGTTTGCAAGTTCCTTTCGTAAACTGACTTATATTTTTATTTTCTACGCGATTTTTGATAATGTTTTTTTTCGCGTCCATTTCGATTGAACGTTTTGTTGGATAACAATGTGGATTAAAATTTGAAAACAAAAGGAAAAGAAAAGAAAACAAAAAAAAAACAATCAATGTGTTGTGGCAAAACACGAACGACGAAACGGTGTTTAATTTTAATTTTCAAATATTACTATTACTATTAATTTTTGTTTTTTTAATTATTATTATTATTATTATTATTATTATTATTATTATTATTATTATTATTATTATTATTATCGCTATTCGCAACTAATCGTATTAGAGTTTGATTTTTATGATTTAGTATTATAATTTGATTCTTATGATTTAAGTATTATAATTTGATTTTTATGATTTAAGTATTATAATTTGATTCTTATGATTTAAGTATT